GTTATATATCCGTTTTTTTTCAGGGCTTTTCACTCTGGTTAACAGCCACCGGACGGTCTCGTCCGATGGGATCTGCTTCCCTTTCCAAACATAAAATTAGTGCACACCGTAGGTCCATCTGTCTTTCATTTTTGCTACATTCGTAACTCAAGGATTACTTGCATCTGCCCAACATTAGGCACGAACAAAGAAACAGACTGAGCTGGAGTCCTGAAGTAATTTGCCACCACGTGGTCAAGTGAGCAGGCACTGCGACCGAGAAGACCAATGAAGCACAAATCTGGTAACAGATGGAGCCAGCCTCGGGATTAATAACAGTCTCTGTTCGGACCAAATAGACAGCTAGTGCGGTCAACACTTCATCCTGATCAGTCGTGTTTTCCCCGAGATCCATCACGCACGCAAACACGCAGGCAAAATGTAGGAGCAATCTGTCAAGGTCAGGATTAAAAAGGGTGAGAAGACTTCCAAACTAATAGCACATCTTCTTCTTACGGTGCTTCTGCTGGAGTCTGCACCGTCTCCTCACCCATTAGCTAGCAAGCTTGTTTGAGGGGAAAGGGAAAACGCAAATAATTTAATTGTGGTTACCCAAAATCTGGACTAATAATGGTCATCATCGGCAAGTCATTTACTCTCGCTCCGCTGACCAATGAATTTAATGAGATCTTCAGTTAACTCAGCTCTTCTCTAGTGATGTAAACTTAGGCTGGTCAGTCAGTGCCGCCGGCTCGTCGGTCCGAAAGATGGTTTTTGTTCGCCATGAACCACTACTGCTGTCTAGTTGAAATTGGCCAACGTAGACCGCTCACGCATAAAGAGCTGAGTGTTGTGGAGTCCTCACATCTCTCGCTCACTCCTAACTAATGAGAGTATGTTTCAGAGGTACAGATTGAAGAATCGCATCGGTTCATCCTAATTCGATCATATCTAGATGAATACAGTTTGCGTCAAATGCGGAATTGAATGTATTTAAATGGAACTCAATCGGGGACGTAGTACAGTTCTAATTAGATTCAGACGCAGATGTAAAAGCGCTTGATTTTCATCGATTTGTGTCATATCTCCACTATACCCTGTAAAGTCAAATATGCTCATGTTGCTGTTCGTGTAGTTGCTCACACCATAGTAACGAGGGGAAAGCGTTTCGCTGACGATGAAAGACAAAATAATTAACATAATTCTTATGCGTTTCTGACAAGTTGTGGTTAGTGCAATGGAGCGGAATACATTCTCTTACCTTATCTACTAATGGCCGCAGAGCGTTCGCAAGGCGAATCAAACGTCCGTGATAAAAAATGGTCAAAGTTTAAACTTATGGTCTTTTTCTTTAGCGAGCTAATGTTCATATTTGATGTCGCTACCTAACTCGAATCAGGTAGCGATGTTTCACAGAAGCCTGGGGTAAATACGTCCACTGCTGCTGTGGGGTTTAATTCGCTCATTTTGTTGAGCCCGAATTGAATGTATCCCCCATCACTGACTACCATAGCTCTTCCAAATACTTTGATTTACTGTACGGGAGACTTTCACACGTGTGCGTAGACATTGCGTTGATTGCAAGCCCGTTGTATTAACAAGTAAGTTTGCTACTCAACAACCCCGATTGCTTTTGAGCCATGTGGAATCTCTCCACTTCAGACTACACAAAGTAGAAGCGAGACTTACGAATGCAACTCGCATGCAACCAGTCATAAGGCCCCATCTTCCTCGACGAATTGTGAGATAGTAGAGGTCCCTCTGGAAATTTTTAGCGTCATTAGATCTGCTAAATTTTTGGTTTCCCTGTAACAGAATCGTTACCATCCCCCAAAAAGTGTTCGTGCGCATTCATCCCGTGTGTGTTCAACTACGGATTACTGGTAAATAATCACTACGTTTTACCACACGTACGACGGAGTAACCTCCATGTCCGATAGCCTACCGCACATACAGAACAGCATTTGATGGCTGTTTTGTCCAGCTGGGGCTCGTCAGTCTTGCGCATTCTCCCTATTCCACTGTCAACAGAACCCTCGAATGCTCGACCGCACATATTCATGCCAATAGATCACCGAGCATTACGGTAAACGGTGATGAACTGTGATTATCATCTAGCGCCGCTCATACTTCAGTGCCAAGTAAGGGGTATTGGTCACTGCCTAGTGACTTGTAAATGGTTAGGGTTGTTGGAAGGGTTGATGATGGAGCCAAGGGATAGGTACTACGGATGAGTCTCATTAGGACGAAACGGCCGTTTAGTACTTTTCTTTAGTATGTGGTAGACTTGGAAGCTACTATGCTAAATACTTGTTAAAATACATTTTAAACTGCCCTACTCCTAAATGAGTGCTATAATATATGGCTTCGCCTGGTACATTTAAATATTACGCCGGTCAACCATTAACCTATTCACCTTGTTATATTATATCAGGGTATATTAGGGTTGCCTAAAAATTTGTTCTAATATGAACTTCTTAGCTGTGTCTGTGCTCGACTCCCGATGTAAACTTTTATTATATTTTTCTAACACACGGTAGATGCTACGGCTACGGTACTTCTACCACTTCTACCACAAAGAAGAGCATGTGAACTTGCAATGAATGCATTGGTCCACAACTCTTATGGGTATTCCGGTCGGTCCTGTATCCCCACTCTCCCGTATTTTAGGTGTAGCTCTTGGAATCACGACTGCCCAAACTCACTAAATGACCTTGCACACGCGAGCCAAGGGGCACATTAGGCTCATATTTCAAGGACGTGCGGGTGCATTTCTGAATAAGAGAATAGGTAACAAATTGCAATAGCAAATGTCATAGCTCGTATCGCCTCAGACCCCGAAACTACAATATCAAATCGGGCGTTGCTCGCCGGTGTTATATGATCCCTCCTGTCCTTGGGGTGAAAGTGTGGTACTCATGAGATAATAAAATGAATCAACGATTTGCCTCCATGGACTAGTGAACCCAATGCTGAGCACAAATCCTGAGTATTACTACTAATTTGATATTGAAGTATAGTGGGTGAAACCCTTCAACACTCAGGGTAATCCTCTGCCTATCTTCGCAGCCGAAACTTTCCAACAACCATAGACTTGTGGAGAAAAGAAACTGCTCAGTAGACCATTAACCGATTACGTTGCAAAGTCACCCGCTACCACACACTGGCATATGCTGACATAGATGCGTGAGATGGAGTTAACGACTCATCAGCTCACGGCCGTGAAAGAAACAACATCCGTTTAAAAATTCATGCGATGTAGCAGATGGGATCACCTCTTTTTTGCCACAGGTATTGGGTGTAATCACGCAATTCGTGCATAGATCAGCGTAAACATGGTTATTCCAGCGCTGTACATCCCCGAGATAACAGTTACGCTGATTTCTAAAAGTGTGTGTGACGGAAATGACACGTCCTTTGTTGTAGACGGTTGAAGAATGCATTAGTCGCTTGACCTAGCATGTCCGGGTAACCTTTCGTATGAAATTCTTTGATAGGATGACGTGTCTCATTACTTCAAGAGTCGGTTCTCTTTTCTGAATGTAATAGGGGATGTTCTTCTCCGCGAAACTTAATTAAGACTTGTTTCCATAGTTCGGCATAAGATGGGTATCAGACGTCAGGGGAAAATAAAGTGCCCGTACTGGAACGGTTCTGTAACTAGCCGTGTCCTGAAGTCTTCCAAAGGATGAGTGACAAAACAATCGATTTACGAATATTTTTGCTGGCACTTGGAGACCAAAACTGGCGACTTTTGTTCACCTGCACCAGCGCTGCAAGTTTGCTTAAACATGTGAGCGAATTTCAATTTGCTGCATAGGATAAAGTGTCTTTTGACGGTAGGGCTGATGTTGAAGGATACTTGAAGGTACTTCTTTCATAGTCTAGACCACACTAAACTGACACTCGTGACTCTTCACTAATTACTGCAAGCGGTCTTGTACTATGTTCGTGGAAGAATTGATATGCACTAGGTTGCTTGGGCATGTTTTCACAACCTTACGTCAAGCGTTGCTGATAACCGGTGCATGGCAAACGAACAATAAATCAAGAAACCGTTGATTTTTTGACGCTGGAAGCATCTGTCTGTGCGTATAATTAGGTTACATCTTTCTTAATGCGATTCATATGTCATCCCTCAGGTTTGAAATAAATAGTAACAAGCACATGGAGCACCTCTGGCTGGTAACCTTAAAGCTCCGACCATCATAGAATGAGAAAACTTCGCCTTTTACATTTAACGGTGAACAGTTTCGTGATGACGCCGATTGTATGATGTCCCTAGTTAATTAAAACCCTCCCCCATTTCAAAGTTAGCTTGGCATCCCAGTGTAGTCCAATAAAATGCAGATCGACCGGTATGTTCTTAAGAGATGGATCAAACGACAGTGTGTGGAAGGGAACAAGAGGACCCTAGTCCTGTAGGTAAGGTCCCTAGTATAGTCCTACAAGAAGCTTCAGGAATCTCCGAGATGATGTATTGACACGCTTGAGAAATAACAAAGTCGGTAAAGAAAAACGTGGGAACCTCTTTTTAGAAGAGAATATCACTATCGACTCGCTTAACGCATTGTGGCCGACGATCCTGCACTGCGTCGGTTTGGGGAACTTAGTGTCTGGAGTTATCACATTCTCCGTGAACTATTCCCAAACCTCATTGGTGTCGGATGATTTTAGGGATTGCGTACCATCATTTAGTCCTTGTAGGAATTCAACCGATTAGCACAAGAGCAAAAAAGTTCGGACCACTTAACAATGACAGCCTATGGAAAGGCAAGACTATGTTGTGAGAGACTAAATTGGGTTACACAAAACTCGCGTGTTTTAGTTTTGATCTTTAAGCTTGATTCCATGACAATTGTCAAACCTGTCTGAGTCCCGACATGTGTTCTCGCATTCATACCTGGCCGGAATTGCCAAATCTCTTCCGCAAGTCCCAAGACCTTAGTACGTCGATAGGAACGATCTATTGACTGTTGTATCACTCTCACACATGAAAAACCCAAGGCGAGAGCACAAAGTAGGGAACTGCAAGCGATGTATAAGAAAAGTAAAAATACAAATGAATGTGTAGGATAAACCGACGTAAAAAATATTCAGGCTCAATTTGCACATGACTTCATCATTCGGATTGTTCGTGCTCCCAAATTTCGTTGGCTTCTAGTTACGAGGTAATCCCAGTCAAGGAAACGGATTAATGTTCCATTCACGCAGCGTGTTGATATTCGACATCTGACAAATCAAATGTAATGAAACAAATATTTAGAATTCGTTAAACATCTACTTAGTAGTACTAGCAAAACACTTCATCCCCAAATTTAAGCGAGATAGGTACCAATTCCTCTAGTGGGAGCTCTAATACAGTTCCGCTATTAGCTAGTAAATTTTCATGGTCTTAACACTGTTCAGGTTCACAGACATGAAAAACCGTTTTGCATCAATGGCAAAACGACAAAAATGTCTACTGTACAGTCCCTATCGATCGTTTCTTCCATAGTTCCAATGTCGAATTGGCTGAGATACACTTTAGAGTGATTCGCAGTCCAAATTTAAATTATCCGTCTCAGTATATCTTCAAAAAGACAGCTACAAAATGATCCGCAATAATTATTCAGTGTTCCATTCATTGCTAATTGATGGCCAAAAAACAGCAGAACGATGAATCGAAAGTAGTTAACCCATTAACCTCGCTGCTGCCGTACTGTTTTGGGAAATCTATTTTATATAAGCTCACCTTTAACGATGCGCCACAAGGAAATCTTCGGATTTACTTCTTTGTATCAGATGACTGTCACATGGGGTACCCAGGTCCCTGGTACAGTGCTTTCGAATATTGAGATCCGAGATTCGGAGTATTTCCTATGAAACCGGGGTGTTGATGCTGGATCATCATCGAGGACGGCGTTAGTGAACAACTTTGAAGGTCATAAGCAGTCTGTGATGTAATATCCACACTTAGATATCCAGAATCATGGGGACGTTTTACAGCAGTGCCTGATGTTCCTGAAGCACGGTGCGTGCATTTCGGAGTTGATGCTATGATATTGTTGGCACATCCAATATCCCATCTTGAAGGAAAGATGGGTGATGACGCATGTTGCACCGGTCTTCCCCCTCGGATTGTGTGAAACCCAGGGGTGTTTGCGGGGGAAGACCAGGAGGTCGCTCCAGTCCCCACGCCTGCCACGCCGATCCGAGTAGTCCCCCCATTGTCGCACGTGGATGGAAAAGTTTTGGAATCCTGCGCTACCGCGACAGTAGATGGAATTGTGGTAATGGCTGGATACGGAATAGACCGTGGGGGTTCATTCTGCCCGTGCAACACCCTATCCAAGTGCTCAATGTACCAGATGGCCTTCTTCAGTGTCGATATCTTGCTGAGCTGTTCACCGGAATGACTGGGCACAACTGCTCGAAGTCGTTCAAACCCCATGTTCAAAAGGCGGACACGATTACGTTCACGTTCGTTTCGACGAGACACCTGCGTGGTGCAAGCGTTAGAGCCAGTTTCTGTGTCCAACTTGTTTGACTTTGAACCGAGTCCACTGGGCTGACGTTGTACAGGCAATTTGAATCTAAATTCACTATCATTTGTACGCAAGGCTTGTACTGAGTTGCAGTGTAGGTTGCCCAAGGCTCTCCTTCTTATGCACGAATGTGGCTTCTGTTGCAGATTGCGATTTTCTTGCTCAAACAATTCGCCAGTATACAATGAGCTGTCCACAGTTTTGGACACTGATGATGTGGTGGGTACAATCATTGTAACAAAAAATGTCACGGATGGAGCACAGACAGTAAAGTAAGATTTGGAGTGGGTGTTGCACGGGCAGAAGTGGAATTTGCGCTCGGCTACAGCAAGGCGTAACAACCAGAACGACCTAAACTTAGCGGATTATGATAAGCTTATATACAAACTTCTCGTGCGACATGATGACACCACCCTTTCTCTAGCAAGGCTGACGAGATGCACTCCACGCTGATTGGTCCCAACATCAAATTGCGTGCCGAACCAGTGGCGCGTGGCAGGCAACGTCGTGTTGACACGAGCCAATAGGAAGTGCAAGTCCACGTGTCAGGGGGCGTTGGCGGAGGGGAAGAAATTGGGCAGGTCAGTTAGATGCCCGCGCTTGTTTCGTCCACCGGATATTGAATTTAATGGTGTTCAGCAGCGAAAATGCTAACTCTAATAATGGCTCATTTAGAGTGATGGTCAAACATTTTGCTTACATTGTAAAAAGGCACGCAAAATTTGCTGCCAAAGGATCAAGCATGAACCAGGATGCTAAATGTTTAGTCTCAAGATGCGACGTTATCAGGCCCCTGAGTTGCAGCTCAACAGTGTTTCTAATGGGAAGCAATTTTACAGACAATGGTGTTGAGACATTGTGGAGCTACTGCTGCTCAGGCATTGACTAGTTGTGATTATCATGCTTTGTAACGGGTGGAGTAAGTTCTAGCCTTCCATTACTGGACGCTGCAATGTGACATTTATTCAGGTTGTGTACAGAAAGCAAAAAATGCTGGTTTCTGTTGCTAGGCAATATGGTGTATACCTGACTTTTCAAAGTCTACTATAAAGCAAGATGATGTTCGCCTTTTTGTTCATTGAGTTCATTGAGTTGTTGAGAGCAGGAGGGAAATCCCTTGTCAGCCCCATCGATTCCGCATCATACTGGGTTTTATGCGTGTCGTTCGCATTACGACGTTCCTCGAGGGTTCGTCGCAATTGCAGTGACAGCTGCAAAATTTCAGCATTCTCTGCGAATGTTTGTCTAGCAGCCGCTTGAAACTTTCCTCGGATGACGTGTCTGCAAATTCTTCCGGTAGGCTGTTCCAATCATTCACCACTCTAGTAAATAGGGTGATGTCCATGCGAATTCTGTGTCTTCTTTGCTTAAATAGTTTCCATGTGTGACCTCGTGTGGGACAGTCAGTCTTGGGCCGGAAGAATCGTTGTAAGTCACTTCCCGCTTCCCTTCGGAGGCTGCCTCTAGTGTAGATAAGATCACCCCGGCGATTGCGGAGCTCGAGGGAGAACAGAATTAGCTCCTGGAGTTGAATGGGGCAGGGGAAATCACGAAGTCCCAGAACAGCTTTCGGTGCACATCTCTGAACTTTTTCCAGCAGAGCGCCTTCAAACTTTGAAGGCGGATGGATAGCTGGTAGGCCATATTCTAAGACGGAACAGACGTACGAAGTGAACAAAGGTCGAAAAATCTCAGGAGTCATTCGAGCGAATGATCTTAATGCAGCCACCACTCCTAGTGGCCAGCTTCTTCAACGTGTCCTGCGTCGTTCTAAGGTTAGAAGTCACGATAACCCCGAGATCTCTCTCGTAAGTGGTATTCCTGAGAAACCCACCAATGTGGTATGCACCGTACGGTTCAGTGCTACCCATTGGGAGAAAAGCGCGTTCATCTCGGTTTACTGGCAATTCCCACTTGATGAATCATTCGTGTAGCTGGTGTAGAGCCCCTTGTAATGTCGGTATTCTCAAGGCTGCATACTGTTGACCATAGCTTGAGGTCATCGGCGTAGATCAAGCAGTCGGTTTGAAATGCAGTCGGTAGATCATTCATGAACAGTTTGAAGAGCTCTGGTCCAAGCACTGATCCTTAAGGAATGCCACTAGTCATAGGCACTGGAGCAGAGAGCGTTTGGTTCACTTGTACACGCATTGTCCTACCTCTTAAGAAATCGGCAATCCAGGAGAGATTTCCTGTAATGCCAATTCCCTGGAGTTTATGTAGCAAGCGTACGTGTGGAACCTTATCAAAGGCTTTACTGAAGTCAATGAATATTAGGTCAATCTGTTTTCGGGCATCTATGGCTTCTGCTCATGTTTCCCTGGCGATGAGTAAGTTAGTGAGGCATGAGTGTGCTCTCCGGAAGCCATGTTGAGCAGGTGAGATGATGTTTAGATTCACACAGTGTAGCTGGAAAGCGCACTTGACTATTCTTTCCATGGTTTTGCATACGACTGATGTCTGGCTGGTAGTTTGCTGGGTCTTGTTGGTTTCCCCCTTGTATTTGGGCAGGACGACACCTGCTTTCCAGCTTGTGGTTAGGCAGCCGACTTCAAGTGATTACGGAAATACTTGGCAGAGAGGGGCGGCGACGTACTCAGCTATCGTTTTGAGGAAGCTGGGATGTAATCTGTCCGGGCCTGGGGAGGAGTTCGGGTCTAGTTTGAGGAGTAGCTTAGTGAATACCTCGGGGTTAATTTCGACTTGGTCCATAGAGGAATAGTGTGCAGACAAACAGTGGTTGAGCAGCGGAGATTCTACTGAGTAGACCGAGGAATATTGCACAGCCAGCAGGTTTGCTTTCTCCTGTTCACCGTAGAGAATGGTAGTTTCCTTAGAATAGGATAGATCGGGGATTCCACTACCGGTTTTGGCATTTTGCTTCAGATAGGCAAAAAGATGTTTGGGACAGTTTTGGGATTCTATGGCCAGTCCATGTTCATATTGTAGTCTTTTGTCTCGTTTTCCCAGGGTGCATAGGTTTCTGACAGTTTTGTAATCTAAGTAGACTGATGTTAGTCCTGTGCTCTTGAAATGGTCCCATAGTTTTCGTTGTTTTTTCATTAGGGATCTTACTTCTTTATCAATCCATGGGGGTCCCTTTGATGGTGGTCTGCTCTTGCAGTTTGGAACAAACCGTTCAATGAGCCGCATCATCACAGATCGTAGACGTTTCCATGCGTCATCAAGCTCCAAGGATTGCGGAATACTCCAGTCCATGTTACTTGCAGCCGTTCTTAATCTGGGCTGGTCGGTGAGCCAGAAATTTCGACGCAGTGTCGCCTGGTCGTGGATGTTGAGGCGTCGTGTCCAAGAAAAGGAGATTATACAGTGATCACTCTTCCCAAGAGATTGGAGGGTTGTTAGATCTGAGACATCAGATGGGGCCGATGTGAGAACCAGGCCGAGAATGTTTGATGTTTGACCAGGGACCATCCGTGTTGGAGACGACAAGCTGGGTCAGGTTGCACTCGTGGACGGTATCAAGGAAATCAACTTCAAAGGAGTCAGGTGGGAGATCACTGTGAAGCAGGTCCCAGATTATGCCGGGCGCGTTGAAGTCACCCATAAGGAGACAGTTTGTTCCTCTGCTGTGGGTTCGCACGGAACGTACTAGGTGTGAGCCAGGTTTTGCAGGGGCTCTGTAGACCATGCCGACCATCAGCGATTGGTATCCGTCATGAATTCGACACCAGAGCATTTCTGATATATCATCCTTGTCACAATCGGGTTCGACAATATGGGCCTTGAGGCAATTCTTTGTGTAGACGATTACTCCGTCTCCAGACCTCCTACCAAAGCGATCGCATCCCAGTAGCAGATATCCTGAAACATGAACCTCCGAGTCAGATATGTCAGATGAAAGCCAGGTTTCGGTGAACGCCATTAGGTCCGGTTGCTGTTCAGAGATAAGGAGTGGAATCTCATCTAGCTTATTTCTGAGACTGCGCACATTCGCGAGTATTACTCGTAGTCCGTTCTTTATGTGTGAGGTCCTGGAAGAATGAGAATTGGCCTTCATCGAGCTCTCTGGGTTTTTCTGACTACGCGAAAATCCACCATGTATAAATGTTTCTCCATTTGCTCGTCGAGTTCACAGCTCGCAGACAGCTTGCCTCATTCGGACTCGGTCCTCCGGGGAGAGGTCGTTCAGAACGTATGTTTCTTCCTTGTGGCGCGAGGTCCGTCTCAGGATGCGTTGGAATTCTTCTTCATCCAGCCAGACGATTATCAAAGGACGAAACTTAGCTGGGTCCTCTTGTTTTCTGCCAAGGCGAAAAAGAGATTAGGTTTATTCCTTGCTCACTCTCATCAAACAACATGGAGACCATTCGTTTAAGGAAACCTTGGTCGTCGAGTTTCCTTACAGCTGGAGTATTTGTTGGATTCTGGGACGTTAGTGATTATCAGGCAGCGGTTGCGAGCAGGCGGCTTGTCTCGTTCCGGTGATGCTGGCTTTGTGGGCATTTCTTTTCTCTGACCAGTTGCTCAAGCTGTGCTACTCTATTTAGGACGAGCTTTAACTCCGCGTTTTCGGTGTTTGATTTTATCGTGGGCCGTGAGGAGATCTTCTTCGAGGCTTTGTTCTTAGCTATGGTTGTCCTCACTTTGCTGAGGTGCTGCCTCTCGCGACTGAGGCATAGGACTTGGGCTTATCCATCAGCCTATTCCCGTTCTCACTGGGTAACGGTGTTAAGTCCAACGTGGTGAAGGATGCCCGGCTTCTTTTCCCTTTCTGTGTAGAATACCCAGACCAGGGCAGACACACTGATAAGATAGGTATCTCGCTGTCCTAGTTAAAGATGGCTTGCGCAGAAGTAATATGTACGTTGAAAGGGTTCGTCAGAAGTTGCTTGTCGCTGACCAATGTTAGACACGGACCGCAGTGAAAATTGACACCTTTAAAGATAGTACACTGAAGACATTGGTATAGATGATTATCAATGTTACAGCAAAGTATGTGCATCCATCTGTCGCAGAGCACATTGGACGGCCTTTGAACGTGAGGTGACACTCTTCCTGTAGTCCACGCACTTGGACGTCATATTTTCCAAAAGAAAAATATAACTATAGTCAAATTTCGGCAAAAGTGTCTATTCAAACATCTTTCTTCACGAGAATTTCACCCAAAAGACTCGAAAGTACAGCACGCCAGAAAGAGGAGTTACCACGTAGTACTCACAGAGGGCTTCTGCGTAAAATCGGTACCACTTGTGTTCCGATCATTGTAGAACCTCAACCAGAGAACCAAACTCCTGTTTCATAGAGTCGTCATTCATGCCCTGTCAGATATATTCGCATGAAATTGAAGAGAAGACACAGAGGAACGCGAACGATCAGTGTTCCGTTGACC